TTTCTACTTGGATCTCTATTATTTCATTTCTCCTGGAATTTTTTAGATTTTACTGTTGCTTTTCCAATTCTCTGAGGCATGATGTAAGGTGATCCATTAGCCTTCTTTCCATCTTCCTCTTATGTGCACTAATTGATATGAACTTCCCTCTTATGATAGCTGTAGCAGAGTCCAAAAGATTATGAAAACTCGTGTCCTCATTGTCATTGGTTTCCATGAATCTTTTGATTACAGTCTCTATTTCTTCAATAATAATAGTGGAGTCATTCAGGAGTAGGTTATTTAGTTTCCATGTATTTGGGTATTTTTGAGGATTTCTCTTGAAATTAATATCAAGTTTAATTCCATTATGTTTGGAGAAGATGCTGGATATAGTTTCTATGCCTCTGAATCTGTAGAGGCTTGCTTTGTGCCCTATGATGTGGTCAATCTTCAAATAGGTTCCATGTCGGGGTGAGAAAAAAGTGTATCTTGTAGGTTTTTTGGATGGAAAGTTCTATAGATGTCTGTTAAGTCCATTTGATTATGGTATTCTTTAGATCCTTTATCTCTTTATCTATTTTTTGCCTAGATGATCTGTCCAGAGGGGATAGTGCAGTATTGAAATCTCCAACAATTAGTGTGTTACAGTCTAGATCTAACAGACTTTCCTTGACATATTTGGGTGCTCCTGTGTTAGGTGCATAGATATTTATAAGTGTTATATGTTCTTCAGCTATAGAGCCTTTTACTACGACATAGTGCCCCTGTCTCTTCGAACAGTTTTTGTTTTAAAGTCTATTTTGTCAGAAATTAGTATCACAACTCCAGCTCCTTTTTGGCTCCCATATGCATGGAAAACCTTTTTCCAATCCTTCACTTTCAGTCTATGTATGTCTTTCTCTATTAGGTGGGTTTCCTGTAGGCAACAGATAGAGGGTTTTTTGTTTGTTTGTTTGTTTGTTTTTTATCCATTCAGCTAGTCGGTGTCTCTTAATTGGAGAATTTAATCCATTAACATTCAATGTTATTATCTATCGATGCTACAGGTTCTGCACTGACGTTTAAGTTGGCCATCGTTTTAGTTGCCTTTTATTTCTTTGTTTCTGGCTGTTAATTCTTTAGTTTTCCTCGAACAGTACTTTCTTCAGGGTTTCTTAAAGAGCTGGTCTGGTGTTGGCAAATTCTTTCAGGTTTTGTTTGTCTGAGAAGATTCTAATCTTTTTTTCCCATATGAAGGATAATCTTGCAGGATTTAATAGTCTTGGTTGAAATTGTTTCTCTCTTAAAACTTTCAATACGTCTTCCCATTCTTTCCTTGTTTGCACTGTTCCCGTTGAGAGGTCCAGTGTTAGCCTGATGGGATGGCCTTTGTAAGTCACTTCTCATTTCTCTCTTACCAGTTTTAGTACCATGTCTTTATCTGCAGTCTTGGACAGTCTAGCTAAGATGTGCCTTGAGGAACATCTTCTGGGGTTGATTCTATTTGGGGTCCTTTTTATTTCTTGGGTCTGGACAGTTGAGTGCCTCTCTAGACTTGGGAAATTTTCTTCCAGGATTTCATGGAATAGATTTTTCCATGCCATTATTAGTTTCTTCACCTTCTGGGATGCCAATTATTCTGATGTTTGGGCATCTAATGGAGTCTAGTATTTCTCGTATATTATCCTCATGTCCTCATGTTTTTGTTATTTTCTTGATCTTTTTGGTGTTTTTTTCTAGGTCAGAGGTTTTATCTTCTACATCAGAGATTCGATCTTCAGCATGGTCTAATACTTTCAAGAGAGTTTTTGATTTCCTGTATTATAGACTTTATATCTAATAGTTCCAGCTGATTCTTTCTCAGAGTGTCCATTTCTTCTTTCATAGGACTTCCTAATCTCCTGTAGTTCGTTGTCTCTTTTCTGTAACAACTCATAGAATTTGGTCACCATGAATGTTTGAAATTCTTTGTCTGACATTTTGGTAACATCCTCCATACTTACGAGAGATAGAGGGGAGTTACCATTTTCCTTTGCTGGAGACATATTTCCTTGTTTATTCAAATCTGAGTTCTTCTTCTACTTCTACTTCTAGCCATTGGAAGATGTATTCACTTTAGAATACATGACTTTTGATACGGGAACGTTTCTCTGACTAGGAGTAAGTGTGTTTCCCTTTTGCTGCGAATTGATGTTTGCCAAAGTCTCTCTTCTGTTGTTTTTACCAATGTGGTCTCAAGAGGGGTACTCTACTGAGGTGTCTGAAAAGCGTATCTCCTTTTTCACAGGTGGATCAGTACAAGGGAGAATCCCAGAGAAACTTATATTACTAGGCAATTTCCGCTATCTGATTATAAACCTGTCTAGTTCCTCTGGTAGGGTGGAAGATGAAGAGGAGTGGATAATAGGTGAAAGAAAAGACAACACAGAGAAGTAAAGAAAAGTGAGGTGGGGGGAGGGCAGAGGTGAACCTGCCTCAGTGTCCCTTGCTGGCCAGAGGCCTGGAGATGGATCTGTAACCTGCTGCCAGTAAATGATTCCTTAAAAAAAAAAAAAAAATTTAAGTTTGTGCATCTGGGTCAGTAGATAGCGTTAATGGTTAAGGCACTGGACCCCCACCTGGTCATCCATGGTTCAAGTCCCAGAACTGGAGGCTTGAAACTTACTCAAAGCATGTGTGCATGAGTGCCCAAAATCCAAAGAGAAAGGAGGAAAAGGGACTGAAGCATAGCCATCCCCCCAGGGGGATGATTTCTCACTTTCTGTCTGTCTCTCTGATGAGCACACTCATCCTATGGCAAAAATCTCTCGCCAAAAAAAAATCTTTGTTCATCAAAGAATACAACTAAGAAAATGAAGACAACCTACAAGATGGTAGAAAGTATTCATGAATCATACATATATCTGAAATGGAATCTGTATCTAGACTTACATAAAAAGTCTCAAAATTAATTTTTTTTTTAAAAGACAACTTAGTTAAGGTCCAGCTCCATGGCCTGGTTGGTTTCAGTGGTGAGATCTCATATCACTACACAGTTTGAGTCATGGTCTCAATGGCTTGGGAAACACACCAGGTGAATGTGCATGAGTGCTCAAAATCTCAAAACAAGAGAGACCATGACCATGTCCCATGAGGGAATATTTTCATCTCCCTCTCTGACAAGCACATACACCCTTTAACACACAGCCACACACTCATACATACACAACAACCAGTTAAAAACTGGACAAAGGATCTGAATAGATATTACTCCAGAGAAGATGCATAAATGGCCATTAAGGACATGAAAAGATGCTCAACTTAATTAACCAAGCCAAAATGAAATAACATTTCATCCTTACAAGACTGTCCATTTAAAAAACAAATACTGGGTCTTCGGAAAAGTCATGATGTATTTTTCTATGCAAAAATGCATCATGACTTCTCCGACAACCCAACAAAAAACAGCAAATGTTGGTGAAGCTATAGAGAAACTAGGACCCTCATACACTGCTGGTGGAAATGTAAAATGGTTCAGTCACCTTGGGAAACAATCTGACAGTACCTCAAAAAAATCAAATGTAGAACTACCATATGATTCAGCCAATTTTACTCCCAAGCGTAAATCTAAAAAAGTTGGAAACAAGAATTCAAATATTTATATGTGAATGTTCATAGCAGCACTATTAACAAAAAACAAAAGATGAAACAAAACAAGCAATCAGTATGAATGGATAATCAAAACATGCTATATAAGTACAACGGGCTACTCAGTCATAAAAAGAAATGAAGCACTTAGTATACTGTAACACAGATGAACCTTAAATACATCACACAAAACAAAAGCCAGGCATTAAAGGTCACATATTGCATGACTCCATTGACATGAAATATTCTGAACAGGTAAGTTCATAAAAAGTAGACCAGTAGCTGATGACCAAAGGAAAGGGAAGAAGATGGCATCATGGCATAAGGGTTTGCTTTTGGAAACCCTTGTCTTGGAATCAGACAGAGGTAGCAGTCACAGAACTTTGTGAGTATATTAAAAGTACTTCTATTTATATGGTTAATTACAATAAATGTCACATATCCCTCCCTCCACTACCCTTTGGAAACTCACAGTACACATATTAGCACATCTAATGCTCTGAAAACTTCAGTAGTAACTCACGCCAGGCGCGTGTGCGTGCGTGCCCAAGATCCCGAGAGGAGAATGGAGGAGAAGGGATTACGGAGTGACCATCCCCTCTAGGGGGTGATTTCTCGCTTTCTGTCTCTATGTCTCTCTCTGTCTGTCTGGCGAGTGCACGCGCCCTATAGCAAAAACCTCTCCCAAAAAAAAAGTGTTTTTCAAATCGTAGGTCACAATCCATTAAAAACAAAAATCAATTTAATGACTCAGAATAAGAATCTGTAGAAATAAAATAGAAAGTATTAGACTATAACACATAAAATAAAGATAAGAATCACTTTAGGGGGCCAGCAGGTGGCATGATGGTTAGGGCACTAGACACTCTCACATGACCGACCTCAGTTCAAATCCCAGACCTGATGGCTTGCTTTCTCAATTTCCTTCTCTCAGTGTGTCTTTTTCTGGTCAAATTTAAATAAATGAATAAATAAATAAAATTAAATAAATGGTTATTAAAAATCACTTGGGCTAGCCCATGGCTTGGTCATTAAGGGAACCAATCCCACATGGTCAACTACGTGGTTCAAGTTCTCCACCTGTCAACTTTTAAAACATGACAGGTGTGTGTGTGCCTACACTCTCAAAAGGATGGAAAGATGGAAGAGGACAGATTATGCCATGACCATATCCCACTGTAAGGTACTTTCCCCCTCTCCCTCCGTCTCCATGTCTCTCTGGTAAGCACACACATCATCTGGCAAATAAAAATATAAAATAAAGGAAAAAAGATAAACAGTGCTTGTCTTGAAACTTTTGTTTTCATTATATACACACAGTGAACTAGGACATGCTGTCAAATAGATTTCTTATTGGAATCACCACTAAAATACTCTGAAAAACACTTTGAATACAACCAAACAAATCTTACCTCACTTACCATATTATAGAATTCCAGCTCTCTTGGACCCCTTGGAGGTGGCTGTAACTGTTTCAAAACCGTGCCATCGGGATGTTGCAGTATACCTATGGAACAAACATAGAAAACATTTTAGTGCTTTAACAGTACTTCACAGAATATGTATGTTCTTAAAGTGACACATAAATTACTTTCATAAATTTAAGGGTTTATATTTAGTTATTTCAGAATTTCAAATTTGCCCAACATGGTTCAGTACTTATAATATACAAAGCACCAAAACACAAATTCTAAACAGCTTCATTTTACTGTCTCCAGTGACTATTCCCTTCTGGTTCCCTGAGACTTTCTAATAGAACATACATGTAAATATTGACGGAAATTCCTCAGTAACAGACTTATCATGAGATGTCAATTTATAGTAAAGCAAAGCAAAAGCATGTTAAAAAGAATAACACAAACTGATCCCCTTTAATAAACAGAAAAAAAAATAATGTTAACAGTAGTAATATATTAATTTCCTACTTGGTAATTTTCTTGGTAAGTTTCTGTCATCTCTTATACAAAAAAACTAAAATATTTTACTGATCTAGATGTACTGTTTAGCTAGCACATGGGCATATAGCCAATGGAAAAAGTGAAGACTGAAATCAGGTAGCAGGCCTGCGACAAAGTCAGCTTTTTAGAATCTGTCTACCCGGGAACCAGCAGTTCGCATAATGGCTATGTCGCTGGACTCCCACGTAGTCGACCGCGGTTCGCGTCCCGAGCCCAGTGGCTTAAAAGTCACGCTGGGCGCGTGTGCATGCGTGCCCAAGATCCCGAGAGGAGAATGGAGGAGAAGGGACTGCGGCGTGACCGTCCCCCCTGGGGGGTGATTTCTCACTTTCCGTCTCTATGTCTCTGTCTGTCCGGCGAGGGCACGCGCCTTATAGTGAAAACCTCTCCAAAAAAAAGTAGAATCTGTCTACCCAAATAGTGTTTTTTCCAAAGTCACCACAGGTCCTGTTCCTTTATCATGAAGGCTCATTCTCAAATTTATATGTTAAAAATCTTTAACTTTTCATGTGTTGATATTTCCCAGAAGTATTCTAGTTAGACTAGAATATAGCTCAAATAAATCTTCACAGAATTTGGACAAAATATTTCACTTCAGTTCCTATTCCTTTTTGGCTAGTCAGGAATTTTTAATCATGGCAAAGATATAGAATTTATCAATACAAGAGGAAAGACTCAAGAGATACAACAATTAGTTTGCTGTATGACCCAGATACAGAAGGAAGGAAGGCAAGTATTAATCCACCTGGATAAAATTTGGTGAGCAGTCAAAAGATCTTGAGATTTAGAGTAGTCTAATGTAACTAACATTTCCTTAAGAATTCAATTCCTGAAGGTTGGGACAGAGAACAAGAAAGACCTTTATTCCCATGGTTGTGACATTTTTTTTTTTTTTTTTTTAATGGAACTAACAAAGAGTGGTAGATGCAAAAAAAGCCTTGATGAATTCTAGAGGAAGAAAAAAATGGTGCATTCATAAATGAGCACAGAACCACAGGAGATTCCCTACCTCAAGGCAGAAACCTGGTCTAGATACAGATGAGCTTCTCATTAGACAAATACATTTGATCAAGCAAACAGAAATCAGTAAAGCTACAGACAACAGAGCAGGGTAATAGAACAGATTGGAGATTGTAACAGTACCAACACAAAAACAGATTGCTTGGTATAGTAAGTCTTCTAAACTATTCACCCTGCAATATAACCACAAATGCTTTTTGAGAAAGTAGGTAACAATCCCAAGCTTTCTCAGGGTAAGTGAATTCTAGGAAACAAGGTAAACCAGTAGTGAGTATCTGAAACTACAGCCAAACTCCCCCCTCATTCCTAGATAAAAATCTGTCAAAATTTAAAAAATAATAATTGCCATCTCTGAAGGCTGAGTCAGTAACAGATTAATAGCGTCTAAGACTACAGCCCAGCAACAGCGCAACTAAACTTTTTTTTTTTGAAGAGGTTTTTGCTATGGAGCCGGTGGGTGCTGCGTTGGTACTGCAATGAACCAGGACCAGCCCCTTAGCACAGAAGTTAAGCACTGTACATAGGGAACCAGATCCCCCATGGCTGATCATGGTTCAAATGCCAGCCCCGGTGCCTTGAAAAATACACTGGGCACTTGTGAACTTATGTCCAAATCTTGACAGGATGGAGAAATGGAGAAAAAAGTACTGTGGCATGACCACATCCTATTAGGGGTTTCTCTCTCTCTCTCTCTCCCTCTCCCCCCTCCCCCTGTCAAGCACACACACTCTCTGACAATAAATTAAATTAAATTAAAAATTAGGAAAAAAATTCAATGAACCTTATGAAATATCAAAAGAAAATATCAGGGCTAGCAGGTGGCATGGAAGACTCCAACATGGCCAACCACATTCAAGTTCAGGACCTGGCAGGTTGCTTTCTCACTCCCCCATCAGCTCTGTCTGTCTCTCCCTGGTGAGCACATGTGCCCTATAGCAAATTAAAAAATAATAATAGTAATGATAATAATAAATAAAATTAAATAGTTCTTTTTAAAAAAACACCTAAATTAAAGCAAAGAGGAAAACTATCAAAAAGAAAAAAAGAACAGAACATTAGAAACTTATAGGATAGTATCAAGCATTTTAATAAACATAGAGAAAAGAGAATGGATGAGAAAGAAATATACTGGACTTCCAGTTCCCACCTAGAATATAGAACATTGGGAAGAACATTGCTAACATCTAAAAACAAACCAAAAGCAATACAGACAAATCTACAAAATCTAATTTTCATTGAAACCACCAGAGCTGAAACAGTAAACAAGCATGAAACCTAAAGAATATACACCACTACACAAAGGCAGAAAGAAACACGGGCTCCCCTATGGAAGAACATGGGAAGATGAGGTTACCTTACAAGAAAGTAAAAATAACTTAGATTAAATTCTTTTTTTTACAATTATTTTTATTTAACCTTACTTATTTTTAATTTGACCAGAGAGAGACGAGAGAGAGAGAGAGAGAGAGAAAGCAAGCAGCCAGGTTCAAGACTCGAACAGTGGTCGACCATGTGGGAGTCCAGCACCCTTAACCACCATGCCACCTACCAAACAGCTAGAGGGCAAAGGTAGGTTAAGGTGAGAGTATAAAATTCCTAAAAGGTGAAAACATTTGCGGGATCTTCTCCAGGGACCTCTTTGAGTCGCCCTCATAAAAAAAAAAAAAAAAAAAAAAAAAACAACCAAAAACATTAACTGGAGCAAGGTAGAAAACCATAAAAAACAACCCTTAAAAGTACAGATTTGGGGACCAGTAGTTGGCATAATGGCTATGTTGCTGAACTCCACGTAGTCGACCATGGTTCGAGTCCTGGACCCAGCGGCTTAAACTCCCGCCTGGCACGTGTGTGCATGCCCAAGATCCCGAGAGGAGAATGGAGGCCAAGGGGTTGCAGCATGGCCATACCCCCTGGAGGGTGATTTCTCGCTTTCTGTCTCTGTCTTTCTGGCGAGCGCACACGCCCTATAGCAAAAGCCTCTCAAAAATAAATAAATAAATAAAATAGTACAGATCTTGAGAAAAGGAAACACTACTAACTTCAGGAAAAAAAGACGCTTCTCCCCTGTGGAACAAAATCTTAAGCTGTTGGTGTGAGGAGGACAGAAATCATGTTGTCCTCCATGAAATTTGCTGTGGATAGGGAAAAAGTTTTAAAAAATAATTCTCAAACCCTGGGGGGTGGGATGAAGAATGAATGTAAACAGGAAACATACTGATTTCTGACTTTAGTGGCCTCCTATTGCTGGAGGATGGAAAGAAAATTCTCAGGAAAACGTCCTGTTAAAGACACAAAGCAGGGGGCCAGCAGGTGGCATTATGGTTAAGGCTGGACTGCCCACATGGCCAACAGCAGCGCAATATTGGACCTAGTGACGTGCTTTCTCACTTCCTCCCTCCCTCCCTCCCTCCCTCTTTCTCTGTCTCTCTCTGTCTACCCCCTCCAAAGAGTACATGAGCCCTATGGCAAAATTAAATAAGAATTAATAAAATTGAATAAATAATTCTCTTAGAGAGGGCTTTTTTTTTTTTTTTTTTTTGCTACAGGGCGCGTACACTTGCCAGAGAGGCAGACAGACAAAGTGAGAAATCGCCTCCCCAAGGGAGATGGCCAAGCCACAATCCCTTCTCCTCCATACTCCTGCTGGGATTTTGGGCAGGCACGCACATGCACCCATCATGAGTTTCAAGCCACTGGATCTCAGACCTGAACTGCAATTGGCCATGTGGGAGTCCTACACCTTAACCACCACGCCACAGGCTGACCCCAAAAATAAATAATTCTTTACCAAAAAAAAAAAAAAAAAAAAAAAAAGTTTTAATTACACAGAAAAAAAAAAAAAAAAAAAAAAAGAACAATTTGATTTCCACAGGAAAGGGGCAGGATCACTGAACAAGCCCCATTACCAAAGACTCAGGATCACATGTCTTATCTACCATGGAAGCCGGACCAGGACAACAGAGAACACCTCTGCAACCTAGCATCATGCTAGCAATCACTAAACAAACAAAAACCAGTAATCTATAAGAGAGACATTAACATGGAGAAAAACCATCTCTGAGGCACAGGTATACAAGGAAAACCCAAAACAGAGTGCTCAAGAGGATTACTGAGAGAAAAATCCTTTGCAAATCAGCCCCACTCTAACCATAAGATCACATCAGAGGAATTTCAAATCTACAGTGCACTGAAGGTGTATTTTTTTTTTTTTTTAGCCATAACAAAACACCACAGACTGGACAGATCAAAAAACTAAAATTTATTACCATAGTTTTGAAGGCTAGATGACCAAGTCAAAGTGCTGGCAGATCCTGTTCATAAGGGGGACTTCCCTCTCAGCTTTTGGGATGTCATCTTCTCACTGTGTTCTCACATGGTGGTGAGACAGCACACTGCATAAAGACAATAATTCTACTGGATTGGGGTTTTACACCAATGACTTCATTTAAACCTTAATTACTTCCATAAAGGCCCTTTCTCCAATGACACTGGGGAAGGGGAAAACTTCAACAGACACATTTTGGAGGAC